GCAACAGGCTGCTGCTGGTGGGTCGATGCACTCGCGTCGACCCGAAACCTTGAAGATTGACATCTCAAAGTATAGGGGAGTCGAAGAAGACTCCCTCTTGAGATGGTTCGTCGAATTGGATGACGCCATAAGGGCGCGTCGCATCGACGACGGGGATATGCAAGTTGCATTTGCCCAGTCAAATCTGGCAGGACGTGCCAAGACTTGGGCACTGGGGCTCAAGTTGCACGACCCATATGCGTTTGGGTCGTTGGAAGTCTTCAAGTCGCGGCTCAGACAAACGTTTGAACCGCCTAGAGCTGAGTTCAGAGCTCGAACCGAACTCTTGAAGCTCAAGCAGGGTAAGCGTGATGTGCACGCTTACGCTCAACATATACGACATCTCACGAGTTGTATAAGTTCCAATCCGGTGGATGAACACACGTTGGTTTCGGTGTTCATGCAGGGTCTTGCGGATGGTCCCGTCAAGACTCACCTGTTCCGACTTGAACTAGATTCACTAGAACATGCCATTTCCATTGCAGAACAGGAAGACTTCAGTCTGAGACAGGCTCGCGCCAGCTCGACATCATGTCGTCCACCGAGACGATATGACAACAGAGGTCCAGAGCCGATGGAACTCTGTTATGTAGAGAGCGAGAAGGCTCACTCTACAGACTACAAGAAGTTGCAGAAATGCAACAGATGTCAAAAGACAGGACACTACGCTTACGAGTGTAGTGCCCCTCGTCCAGTGTCTCGCAACACTGGGCGTAGTGACCGTCCACCCATGAGAAAGGGGCAGGGACGGACAGGATCAGTAGGTGCGGAGCACCCTACTGGTCCAGCAACGTCAAGAGAATTTGTAGGCCTCTTGATGAAGGTTGCTCCCAACACACAAACATTGTGCGTTGCTGCTCTAGGTAATGAGATCTCACTCATTACCATGAAACTCGAAGTGACGAATAAGTTGTCCCTTCGAGCTCTAGTCGATTGTGGGGCGTCCAACAATTTTGTGCGACGCCAATCGCTAGAAGATGGTCACTTCAAGTTCAGTGAATGTGACACACCTCCTACGAGGATGACGGTACGTCTTGCGACAGGCGCATCCGTAACCGTCATGAAGCGTATAGTGAAGATCCACTATACGCTAGAAGATACCCAATATGACGATGACTTTATCGTATTGGATTTGGATGACAAATTTGATGTTATCCTTGGAATACCGTGGCTCAGAAGGTACGAATCACGAGTAAACTGGCAACAGCGGACAGTAACGATGCCCGCCGCTTGTTCATCAGATGGCCATCTGATGAACGTTTGGAGCGTCCACAAGCGTGTGGATGTACTACGAGTGAGTGCGATGGCCTCACTTGTGGTACGGTCGTTAGTACGACTGCACAAAACCTTAGTGTACCAAACGGTTACTATTCGGAGCAAAGTTCCGGCGGCTGTGAGGAAACACAGGCTGCGCCGAAGGTCCACCACTCGAATAAGTCGGGTGGATTGGGACAAAGATGTATCTCTAGCGGGGAGCATCTAGAAGAGAAACAATCGATCGCTCAGGTTAAGCGAAACGATAATCCTAGATCGACTGGAGAGTCTTTAGTAGAGGATCTCGCTGTGGTTGTGCAACCCCATCTAGAGGAAGTAAAGGGAACAAGTCCCAAGATTACGAATGCGGCGGAAATAAGTTCCCCGAAACCCGCGGGAATAAGTCCCCGGGAAGCCGAAGGAATGAGTCCTTCGAGGCCTGAGGGAATAAGTCCCCAGAAAATGACAGAGACGTTGAATGCAATAGTCAATAACGGATCAAGTGTGGGCGCTTATACACTTGATCTGATTGCGCCTCCGAAGTTGACTCCGGAGATCACTCAGTTGCCAATGCTCGAACATAAAAAGTTTTGGCGTGATCTGCGTAGTGGCAAAGTCAATCAGATCTGCGTACTCGTCGCTGACGACGATTGTGTAGCCGAAATAAGGTCAGTAACAGTGTTCACTGAGAACGAGAGAGTTCTCAGTAGTTCATCTATGGACGAGAGTGTCCTAGATGAAAAGACACGAGTTGAGCGATATGACTCCTAATCGTGGGAATCACTCAAGACAAATCCTCTCTATAAAGATTTAGTTGAATTCAAGGAAGTATTACCTGAAACTGTTCCGTGCGAATTACCGAAGGATAAAGGTATTCGACACGAGGTCGAGCTTAAACCAGGCTCGAAGTACTGTGTCATGAAGCAGTGGCCACTGCCTCGTGAACAAGTACTTGCGATCGACAAGTTCTTTGCCGATCGTTTAGCAGCGGGCCATGTGAGGGAATCAACTTCCCCACATAGCTCTCCGACCTTCTGTGTGCGAAAAGCAACAGGAGGGTGGCGGATAGTGCATGCATTTAACAAGTTGAATGCTGCAACGGTACCGGCTCAGACGCCGATACGAAGGAAGGACGCAATCATTGATGGTATGTCAAAGAGTACCATCTTTTCGTCCATGGATTTGATGGATGGCTTCTATCAAATCCTTGTGCGAGAACGGTATATACCCTATACCGCAGTTAGCACGCCTAGCGGCATGCTATGGGAATGGCTAATAATGCCACAAGTGCTTAGTAATGCCCCTGCCACGTTCAACAGATGTGTATCACATCTGTTGAGACTAGCACGAGAATTCGCGTGAGTTTTTTCGATGACGTATTCATCCATAGTCGGGCTATGGATGGAAAGTCGGACGTTGAGGTTCACAGGTACCACGTCCGACAGGTTCTTACAATCATGTGAAAGCATCAATTGTATGCAAACCTCAAGAAGTGTATATTTGCAGCAAGCGAAATACCACTTCTTGGGTGCATTGTTGGTAAGAACGGTGTACGTCCTGATCCCGAAAAGATCAAGGCGATCACCGACTGGCCTGTGCCGGTTGATGTCAAAGGTCTTCGAAAATTCCTTGGGCTAGCGGCGTATTTGCATAAGTATTCACGCAATTACGCCGAGATGACTGTGCACATCTCTCGTTTGTTGAAAAAGAACGAGAGGTGGTTATGGAACGCTGAATGTCAACGCTCCTTCGAGGGTATCAAGCAGAGCTTGATACAATCCCCAGTCCTAGCAATTGCCGATCAGGACAGGCCATTTCATGTGGTCTGTGATGCCAGCGATTTCGCTATCGGCTGTGCATTTATGCAGTCCGACCTTGAAGGCGTTGAACGCGTCGTCTGCTTTCAGTCGCGTCAGCTGCAACCAGCTGAGCGGAACTATCCCGTGCATGACAAGGAACTCCTTGCCATGAAGTATGCACTCGCGAAGTTCAGAGCCTATCTATTAGGGGATAGACCCTTCATTGTTTATACTGACCACGCGTCATTACGCACGGCAGTGAACAGCCCGCACCTTTCACAACGAATGGCGCGGTGGTTGTCATTCTTTGCAGAATACAACTTTACGGTCGAGTACAAACCAGGGCGACTTAATGTCGTCGCTGATGCACTCTCACGTCGTCCCGACTTTGAACTAGTCGTGAAACCCATCAGTGAGTCAGCTACTGTTGCGGTTATGACGTCCTCAGTCCCATCTACAACATTGTCTGATGATGTGAGGCGGGCGCATGTCTAAGATGGTGAGATTGTGAAGTTGTTTACACATCTCTCACAGCCATCTCAAGAATCGTTGAAACGATTATCTTCTGCGTATCGATCTGCATCAGATCGATACACAACCCGCAACGGGTTACTGTATTATACAGCCGTTTCTGGTGACACACCACGTGTTGTCATTCCAGATGATACTGATCTGCGTTTGCGGATCATGTTCGAGTATCACGATGCACCTATAGGAGGATATCGTGGCCGGGAGAAAACAAATCTTACGGTAAGTCGAGACTTTTACTGGCTCCGTCAGTATCAGTTTGTGCGAAAGTATGTTCGCGCATGCGAAGTCTGTCAACAAGTGAAGTCAAGTCCTTCACTGCGTGCACCTTTATAGCCTCTTCAGGTTCCGGTCGAGTGCTGGGAATCCATCTTAAAGGATTTCGTCTTCGGGTTACCCAAAGACGCACGCGGGAATACGGGTATTCTCGTATTTTGTTGACAGATTCAGCAAAATGGTACACCTTGTGGCTGTACCAGAGTCAATCACGGCAAGTGGCTGTGCTTGTGTCTTTATTGAAACCATCTTCCGACTTCATGGGTTGCCCCGTGAACTCCTATCAGACAGAGATCCACGATTTACTGCTGATTTCTGGCGTTCCGTGTTCAAATCACTCGGAACGCGCTTGAAGATGTCTACATCTAATCATCCAGAGTCAGATGGTCAGACGGAACGTGCCAATCGTGTCCTCGAAGAGATACTTCGAGGATACGTACACTCCTTTAAGAGTTGGAGTGAGTTTTTGCCAATGGTAGAGTTTGCCATCAACAACTCGGTGCATGCGTTCACGACAAATACACCGTTTTACGTGAATGATCCTCGTGTACCCACCTTACTAGAGTGTAACTCTGGATTAAGGGGGGGAGGGACTCGCGCGAGCAAAAACCGATTCGGTTCACGCTCATCACGCTCTGAAGAAGAGGTCATCGCGTCTGATGCCGATATCAATAACATCGATATCGAAGAAAATGATGCCAGTGAGAGTGCGGAAGCCCTCACTGAAGAAAATATTGATGTTGCTGCAGTGCGCTCACAGCGCACTGAAGCTAACGAGTCATCAGATGAGTTCATACTGGCTCGTGAAACGGTAGTCCGTTTTGTGCAAGAATCCATCGCCGAAGCGGTGGATAAGCAAAAGCAACACGCAGACAAGAATGGAAGGGCAAACTCTCTTTTATATAATAAAAGTGACTTAGTCCTACTGTCTACGGTTAATCTACCAAAGCATGTAGTGACCAACTTGGGTAGTAGTAAACTTCTACCCAAGTACATCGGCCCATTTCGTGTATTGCGCCGCCTAGGCAATGCATACACGATCGAGTTGCCACGTAAGATACGAACGTATCCCACGTTTTACGTTGGTCGGCTTAAGCCGTACCATCAGTACGCTGCTTCTTCCGATGAAAAAAAAACAACGCCCTTGCGCTCAAGCATCTTGCAGAGAGCCTTGTGCTCCCGATGGCGGGCATCGACAAGGGTCTGAAGAGCAGTTATCTCAGACCGAGACCGATCAACATTACCACGAGCTACCCTTAGCTCGTCACGCAGAGACGTCAGAGCTCTCTCGTTCTCAAGCTGAGCAAAGGCAAACTCAGCTCGATGCTTCAAGACAGCGTCCGCCAGTTGGAGACGCCTGTCCCGCTCATGTTCGAGATCGCCGCGTAACCCTTGCGTTACGCGATCAAAGAAGCTCTCGGGAACACACGCTAACCCACGACAGTGTGGGTACCGTCTTCCCTCCTCATCCACCTCCATTAGGGGACTCTCGCGGTGGCCAGCGCTATCTGTTTGAGCAGCTGTTGAACCACCGCGACGTGAATGGACGTCGGACGAGTTAACTCGTCCGGTGGCGCGGCTATCCCCCGTCCTGGGATACTTGGGAGCCCCGCTCCCAGCTGATGGCTGACGTACTGGGTCTGGTCGAGCAGTACGACGCGGCACATCCTGTGCCGCAGAAGGAACGCTGAAGAAGCGGCTATCCCTCGTCCTGGGATACTTGGGAGCCCCGCTCCCAACTGATGGTTGACGTACTGGGTCTGGTTGAGCAGTACGACGCGGCACATCCTGTGCCGCAGAAGGAACGCTGGAGAAGCGGTTATCCCTCGTCCTGGGATACTTGGGAGCCCCGCTCCCAACTGATGGTTGACGTACTGGGTCTGGTTGAGCAGTACGACGCGGCACATCCTGTGCCGCAGAAGGACCGCCGGAGAAAGTCTTCCCAGCACAGTCGTAAAGGGATTTCAGATTGTCGAACCCTATGTACATCTCACTAGAGATACGTACGCGCCACCACGGGCTGGTAAGGAGGTAAGCCTCCTTAGGTGCTCGTGCAGAATTGTTCACACAACATGGGCACGAGTCTCCCCAGGAGAGGCAGGATAACCCTTTCTCCCTGGACAGACGATGCAGCTTGTAGCATGCACCTGTTGGGGTTCGCTTTTCAAACTTATCACGAGCTTTGATAAGTTTGTCGTTCCAAGCGTCACGACCTACATCCTCAAGGTTATGGATGTAGGCGTTCCACGCTTGAAGCAGTGAGGGACCATCACGTTTGTGATTCCCACTGTACCATCGATGTCTAAAGAAAGCATCGATGAAGAAATCATTCTCAGCGCGATAGTTTTTCGCACTGGGGTCAAGGTGATGGATCCTTGACGAATCGAACAACCGTGTTCGATAACGATCACTCGTCGTCGCCGACAAGTGATCCATGACGGATTTTGGAGGCATCCATGCCTTCTTCTCAGGAGCGAGACGCAACACATTGCGGTCCCGCTCTTCCTGCGACGTGCCGACAGAAGGACTGGCACCTCGTTGCGAAGTGGTGTCCATAGGAGAACCGACACCACTGTTAGCGCCCGAGTTTCGCGACCTCGAGCGCCTTCGCTTTGGCGATGGTTCATCTGATTCATCAGATGAACCAAAGATGCTGCGGCGCATAGCATCATCCATGCCACGCTTGGCAGGAGGCTTGCTTTCAATCGCCGTCGATACGGATCCGTCTTCCGTATCAGGAGAGTATGAGACACCGAGCTCATACTCTGTGAAGACATGAGTGTCTTCATGACGAGCGCCTGCATCACCAGGTGACACAGGCTGAGTCGCTTCCGCAACCGATGAGACATCAGTTGCTGTGGTTTCTGCTTCGGCGTCCGCACAGAGACGTGCGGACGCGCTCTCGGCGGCCTTGCTCGCGCATCGCATGGGCTTGTTAACCATACGATGAATTGTTGGAAAGTGGACTCGGACCAACAAGTGCAAACCCTGTCCCAAATGATTTGGGACGAGTATCCATTAAGTCAATCAGTCACTAAAGTGACTGATGGTTAAGGGGGGTGATGTAACGGGGTGAACCGTTACATCACAGTTTATAAGAAATTTTTAATAGAATGTAACTATAAGAATTATATTCTCAGAATAGTGTCATAAGGACAAATATTCTGTAGCACTTACAATTAGTTCCTAATTGGTTGATATAGGCCATTATATCAACCAACGAAGACGCGCCACGACAGACGCACGCAATGAGTGGTGAGCAGATAGTTGATTTACACATTTGTATTTAGACATAGTTAGATAAAGATAAATAGTGTTCTATTGCAGACTTTAACTATTATAAATACAGTTCTACTTTTTACTCTAACCAAGTACTCGCTTCTTCTTACCGTCTTCCTCTGCACGTACGAGTGTACGTGAAGTTCCGAGGCACCGCCTTATTCTGTCATCAGAATAAGTATCTTGTAATGTCACCAGTACAAGCTTCAGGGTGCCCCGATACAACTTGGCTTGGCCCTTGTTTGTGGCGCGGAAGAGACGGAGTGTGTAGCACCGGAGAGCTTCGGGGAAAGACCGACTGGTTTTTAGGATTTCTTGGACTTCTTCGTGAGGCCGCTTGAGATGGTGTAAATTGGTCATTCCACGTGGCTCTTGATCTGTCGGTGTTTGAGACCGGCCTCACGTAGCTCCTTGATGCGGCCGACCTCTTTCGTTCAGAATTTGTTGTAGGGTGCTATTACTTGATGGAAACCAGCGGTGAGATGACCACCACTTTTATTTTACCACCAATCCATTAATGTTCAATTTCGTATGCATTTTTTATTCGGTGATTTTGTTCACTCTGCATTTTTTGAATTACAAGAGTCCCCTCCGTCTAGCAACACAGCCACGTAGCTGTAACGAATCGTGGCACTCTTCGATAGGCTTATCACAATAAGCAACCTTTAAAAACTGACCAGTAGATGCCAAGACATTGTAACTTCTTAGGGTGTTACGATACTTGCGACCATGAGCGTATTTTGAAGTAGAAGAGGCCGGGTTATTCCCAGTGTGTTCTTCTTTCGGGTTGTTTGATTTTTCTGGGGTAAAACTGCCGGCTACAGAACAACAAGGAAGCGGCGATCGATTAGTTTATAAGTTGGCTGAGTTTTTCTTCGTTGGACGCTGTTGTTCAGCACTTCCTCCAACCTTGATTTTAGCTCTTTGGACTGGTTTACTAATTTAGAGAAAGCTCTGAAGCTTGATTCTCATTCTACATACTCTTATCGAAAATGCCTTGTAAGGATAAAGCGTAACGGGGTACACCTCATTTAGCTAACTGAATGAACCTTACACTGCTGGCAGCGCAAGGGCGTGTGCGTACCACTACTTTACGTAAACTTACGTGCAGAGGAAGATTGTTATAGGGAGTAAGAGTACTCAGTAGAGGCAAAAAGTAGATCTTTACATAGTATAGTTTATCCTTTTCATAAATCTCCATTAGACTTCATTCTACTATGTTTAAATGCAAACATGTATTGTAACTATCTGCCCACCACTCATCGCGCACTTCTGTCGTAGCTAGACTATATTGGTTATTTTTTTTGGCTCTTTTTATCAGCCAATGAGCAGTATGTTACATCTGTGAAGCAGTATTATTGATTAGGATAATATTGTGAGAAATTGTGTTTGTTTCAACATTATATTCATACCTAATAATCACTTTATGACAATTATTATGTAACGGAGGCACCCCGTTACATCAAGCATTTGTTGTTTATAGCAGTCACAAGACGGTTATTCCACGACCGACAAGCACTCTCTCGAAAGGCTCGAATCCTCATCACGCAGATACAATAATGACAGTTTACATTGTAGCCTTAAGCCCTTCGAACCTAGTAAAGACACATTCCATTATGTGCAGTCTTGGGGACACATTTGTGCGTAATTAACATTCGTGCTTCTTTGCCACTTGTACCTTTCAACCATTTTAAGTATCCTTGACACCTGTGTATAATAGACATGTGTGCATCCTTGACATGCACCTTTTGGACGCATGATGATTGTTGAACTTTGTGTACTATCGTCATTATAACATTCTTAAAGTAGTTGCTTGTTCGACATTCCTTTTTTCTAGACATGTGTGCAATTCAGACGTTTGTTTGTCCTTGGTATTTGTGTAATTTTGACGTTTGTGCTCCTTTTCAGCGCATGACTTCTCTCGACACCCGTATTCATTTATGGTAGCTGAACATTTATAACATGTATAGCAAGCATACATCACATCTGGACATCTATCACTATTTTACATTCTCAACATACGGGTGGAGCATGTGATCTCTCTTTAGAATTTATAAATTCAAGCTATGCCTATTCTTGACATTCTTGTCTTTTATTACGTTTTGACTCAGCACATTCTTAACACATACGCAATCTTGACTCCCACACAAATTTAGACGCCTACATAATCTTGACACCGAGAGACAATCTTGACACCTACGCAATCTTAACTTCCACACAAATTTAGACGCCTACATAATCTTGACACCGAGAGACAATCTTGACACCTACGCAATCTTGACTCCCACACAAATTTAGACGCCTACATAATCTTGACACCGAGAGACAATCTTGACACCTACGCAATCTTGACTTCCACACAAATTCAGACGCCTACATTATCCTGACACCCACACATTCCTGACACCCACACAATATTGACACCCTCGCTGCCTGGGGTCACAGCAGCAACATTCTCGCGACAGTCGTTCACTGTAAAATCAAATTTATGATGTCGTCCACACACCGTTGCCATGGCCATTGGCTACGCTCAAAGATAGCATTCTCATCCTGTCCGTCCATCCATCCATCCGTCAACAGCAGCGTCAACCGAACTTCTCGCGTGCAAGTTTCTGTAGCACTGTCCTGCCTCAGCCATGACTTGCCCTGCTGAACTCAAGTGGGTACATGCTCGTCCTGACGATCTGCACCACCACCTGCGTGACGGAGACGCTGCATTGGCCTGCACCGTGCTCCACGTAGCGTCTCAGTTCGCGCGCTGCATCGTAATGCCCAACCTCGTGCCACCCGTGACTACGACTGAGCAGGCGCTAGCCTATCGCGAGCGCATCATGGCTCACGTGCCAGAAGCGAAGCGTGACTACCGCAACAGTGCAATCAGTTTCGAGCCTTTGATGACGCTCTACATGACGGACAGCACCACAGCCGACGAGATACGTCGTGCTGCCGCCACCAACAAGATCGTCGCCGTCAAGCTGTACCCTGGTACGTGGAGAGCTCGAGCGCTGAGTGGCTGCTCAGTCTCGTACTTACTGTCGGTTCTGGATGCTGATTAATACGCAGCTGGTGCAACGACCAACTCAGACTCGGGGGTCACCAACATTGACAATATCCACTTGGCACTTAGTGCCATGAGTGATGTCGGCATGCCGTTGCTCGTCCATGGCGAAGTCACCGACCCGTCGGTCGACGTGTTTGACCGAGAGGCCACTTTCTTAGAGCAGGTAATTCAGCCGCTGGTGGCTAAGTTCCCACAGCTGAAAGTTGTGATGGAGCACATTACGACCAAGGAGGCAGCAGAATTCGTCACAAACTCTTCGGCAAACGTTGCGGCTACCATTACGCCCCAACATTTACTGTACAATCGCAACGCCATTTTTCAAGGAGGACTGCGACCACACAAGTATTGCCTTCCCGTGCTCAAGCGTGAGACGCACCGTCAGGCTCTGCTACAAGCTGTTGCCAGCGGAAGCAAAAAGTTCTTCCTCGGTACAGACAGTGCCCCGCACGTCTCTTCCAAGAAAGAATCTGGATGTGGTTGCGCTGGCATCTACTCAGCTCACGCTGCGCTTGAATTATACGCTGAAGCATTCGACTCTATCGGCAAGCTGGATTTGCTCCGTGCGTTTGCCTGCGAACACGGTGCCGACTTCTACGGCTTGAAGCGCAATACAGTGGGCGAGACTGTCCTGAAGCAGGAGAACTGGAAGGTGCCCGACAGCTATCCGTTCGATAACGGAGTTGTCGTACCCTTGAAAGCTGGTGAGACCATTCGTTGGAAACTGCAGCATCAAGCGCTCACTCCTTCCTAGTTATGAGGCATCTGAACTTTTTAGACTAAGACTAAGTAGTGCTTGTCTGATCACGGGAGGATGAAGATATTTTCAAGCCAGTGCATTCTTCTCTCGTCTTCATCTCGAACACGGACTTAAGAATCCGACACGTTGATTCATGTGCTGTTGATGGTATTGAGCTCGACGAAGAAGAACAGCTATCATCCCCAGATGCGTCCATGGTCTTCTTTTTGCCCGTTGTCATGACTGACCCTCGTACGATCAATGCAGTCAGAAAACTCAAAAAGTCAGAAAAGTCGCGAAACACTTGACTCACGCGATAACACGTCTTGCCGACATTGTTGTCAGGCTGCAACGGATCTTCAATCACAAACAGTCCATCACGAAATAGCGGTGGCGCTAGCATCAAAGGTGAGTTGGCGCTGCAACGTCCATCTGTCGGCGAAGGATGAGCCGTCAAAGGAAGGAGAGTATGTGCCGGCGGCGACTGTGCATTCGTGGTGGACGTCGTCTCAACTGTCAACCAACTTGGCTCACGCCATGACACAACCGAGATCTGGTCAAAATTTTGTCTGAAGTCGTTCCCATAAAATTGCAGAATGTCCATAAGCAACTTTCCCAAGAGGTATGGCTTGGCCTCTAGCGCGTCACCTGTCTCCGAGCCAGTAACAAAAGTAGAAAAAACTGCACGCTTCGCCTTCTTTGCACAGCTTCTAGCGGCCTTTCCAGCGTCCGGCGGCTGTTGTCGTGCCGAGCATTGCTTGATGATTTCTTTAGCAATGACTTCTCCCTTTAGACGTTGCGATTCATAACGCAAGTTCCAGCGGGCATTCGGACACCGAGCACCTCCTTTCCGTTCATCGATATCGACTCTATCGATAGAACCTTGCGAGGGCCTTTGTCCATCGGTCAACAATATCAGAGCCCCTTGCTCTTGCAGCACGTATACAACCATAAGCAGCAAACCATACGATGATAAGCCTCCGACAGCCGGATCATTCAGCCCACACTTCACCAGAAAACACTTCAGCACAAGCGTCAATTCCCGCAGTCCGTAAAATGCGCGCACAAGGCCTTGCACCAATGTGACACTTGCTATACCATTGTGGTGAATACCACGGGGCTCGTCAAACGTAATATCGAATGGAATCCGCAACATCGCGTCACCATCACGCTCAACGTGTTTGCCTTCCGTTGCCTCTAGGTTATCACCTGAAACTAGGACCACCACTTTCAAGAGCGGAATTGGTGCGCGAGTGATGGCGCTCACACCCGAAAACGCACTGAGCTCGCGAAAATGATCTGCCAAAGCCTTTACGCACTGTTGACCGGTGCAATTGAACTCCTCCGTTGCCCCAAAGACGACAAGGTCCACATCACTTGCTTCCTCGTGCAATCCCGTAGCAAGAGACCCGTACTGCTCGACTTGCACGCAGTGATTCCATAACCGTTCAATCTCCTCCGTCACCATTGCAATACCTTTCTGTATCCACAAACGCTTCTCCAGCGCTTCCCGCTGATGATGATCATAAAAGTCCAGAATCTCGTCATGCAAAACGACCTGCATCATTGCTGTCTGCTCTTCGTACAGCCTTTGCAGATTCCCAAACGACAGTCCACATCCATTCACCCGTCCTTCCTCTCGTTCCTCATCTATGCGACGTTCTCGCTCCTTTTCTGTAGCTTGGTTGACACTTCTTCTCCACTCAAGTCGTTCTTCCCATTCTTTCTCCCGTGAGATACCATTCACAGAACAACTCGCTAGGTGTTGTACCAGATTCTCGCGTGAACAAATCTCCCTGCACCCTAGCATCGCATTCGGACACACGACATCGTACGAATACAGATCTCTCGCGCTATCTTCTACCACTTGATCCAGACTATCCGGCACCTGTCGGTACGCACATTTTCCTAGATGCAGCTCCAGGTCTTTCAGCATGCAACTATACGTACATCCGCACCAGCTGTTCGGACACACCACCTCGTAGTCCTTTGAGAACCTCGATATCGTCGACTGAAACCACTGCGTGTTCTTCATATTGTCCAAAAACATCTCCCGCATCATAGCCTTCTGCTCCTTCTCGATCGTAGCAATCGCCCACTGTCGTCTTCGCTGCACCTCTTCTTCTTCTTCACATTGTAACTGTCTCAGCACGTTTAGCCGTCTCGCCCGCTCATTTTCGGCTGCTTCAATGACCCACTGAGTCCAATAAGCTCGTTCGGCTGTTCGATGCGCTTGTTCCAGTCTCAAAGACGCTCGCTCTTCTGCACTGATCCTCGATTGTCGAAACGGCATCAATGAGAGCGGTCTAGACACACTTCGCGGCGTCCCAAAGCTAACGGCACGACCGTTAGCGAAAGGATCCGATTGACGGGTCACTAACTCTATCGCTAGAGTCGATTCTAGCGCTTCCGACGCCGTCACGAGACCACGGAAGGGGTCGCTATTATCCCGTATCGACGTGAACAACTCAGCAGCAGTAAAGCTTCCGGTCTGACACTGTTTTTCATCTTCAGTAGATGACTCGAGGGGCGATATAGACGCGTGGGGACCTTGATTAGACATTACAGAGCCATCGGATCGGCAGGACAATTGGCAGTCTCCTTTCTCCCGCTCGTTTCTCTTCTCCTTCTTCTTCTTCTTCTTTGGACGACGCTTGCGAGGACCAGCGTGCCTTCTTGGTCGGTCCTTGTCGTCTCCGTGTGCGACGACGCCGGCCATGTCACCTACCTGGCCTGATGTTCCGTGTCCGCTGTCTTGACCGTGCAATGGATACACTTGCTATGTGCACCACACGACAACCGACGGCTCATCTTCTACATAGATCGCACACAAACTGCCGCAGCCCACCACCACTTCTCGTGTGGTTGACATCACTTTGCAATCGACACCCGCGTCCCGAGCATGAAGATCGACATCGAAGGACTCGAAGTGGTTTTCCCGTATGAGCGCATGTACCCGGAACAGCTCCAGTACATGCGCGAGCTCAAGCGCGCTCTCGACGCGCAAGGCCACTGCATGCTGGAAATGCCCACCGGCACGGGCAAGACCGTGTCCTTGCTCGCGCTCGTGCTGGCCTATAAACACGCGCATTCGACCGCGGGCAAGTTGGTGTATTGCACACGAACTGTGCCCGAAATGGCCAAATGTGTCGAAGAACTGAAACGACTGGTGGTGTACCGCACACAATATTATGGGTCACAAGCGCAGGTGACAGCGGTGTGTCTCAGCTCGCGACGCAATATGTGCGTGCACTCGAGAGTCATGGCTCATGCTGACGGTGAGGACGTCGACGGCCAATGCCGACAAATGACCGCCTCTTGGGTGCGCGCCAGAGCGGCGCGAGCGGCAAATCAAGTGCAAGACGCGCAATCGGCCCCCGCAATAGCCGAGACGTCGGTGGAAACGTGTTCCTTTTACGAAACGTACGACGCCAGGAGGAGCGACGACAGCGTGTTGGTACCTGGTGTGTACTCAGTCGAGGATCTAAAGGAGCTTGGGGTGCACAAGGGCTGGTGTCCCTATTTCCTCACGAGATACGCTGTCACGTTTGCGGATGTGGTGGTGTTTAATTATCAATACATGCTGGACCCCAAGGTAAGTCAGTTGGTGTCGAGGAGCTTTGAGAAAGAAAGCATCATCGTGTTTGACGAAGCACATAATATCGACAATGTCTGCATTGAAGCACTGAGTGTGGACTTGGATCGACGGGCGCTTGACAGAGCGTCGAGGAACTTGACGACGTTATCCAATCAGGTGAATAAACTAAAGCAGGCAGATAAGTCGAGGTTAGATGCAGAGTACCGACGTCTTGTAGAAGGCCTTCGGTCGAGCAATGCGGTGGTGGCGCCGACGTATTCGCATCCTGCCACGAACCACGCAATTGACACGAGTAATGACATTATGCTCGCAAATCCTGTGCTGCCGGATGATGTGCTGGACGAAGCTATTCCGGGAAATATTCGAAAAGCAGAGCACTTTGTAGCGTTCATGCGTCGACTGATCGAGTACTTGCGTCAACGCATCCGAGTGCGGCAGGTGGAATCCGAAACACCGCAAGCTTTTCTTCATCACTTGCACCAGGCTATCAGTGTGGACATAAAACCGATGAAGTTCTGTTACACGCGGCTTAACTCACTACTTCGCACACTGGAGGTGACAAACTTGGAGGAGTACAATTCGTTGACGCACGTTGCAGATTTTGCGACACTCGTAGCTACTTATGCCGATGGTTTCATGCTCATCATCGAGCCGTTTGATAGCGCTTCAGGTGTCCACGATCCCGTGCTGCAGCTCTCGTGCTTGGATGCGTCACTGGCAATTCGACCGGTGTTTGAACGCTTTTCCAGCGTGATTATTACTTCTGGAACGCTGTCTCCGATCGATTTATACCCACGACTGCTCAACTTTAACCCGGTGATCCGGGAATCGTTGCCCATGTCCGTGTATCGCGCGAGTATTTGTCCATTGGTGATCACGCGCGGTAGCGACCAGATGCCCGTGAGTACCAAGTTCGACCTGCGCGATGACATGTCTGTGGTTCGCAATTACGGAACGCTGTTACTGGAGATGGCGGCTTGTACTCCCGATGGCATGGTCTGCTTTTTTCCGTCCTATCTCTACATGGAGAAGATAATCGGTCAGTGGGACTCGCTTGGAGTGCTCAAGCGCGTTCTCTCAAGCAAGTTGCTTTTTATTGAGACGAAGGATATCGTGGAGACGACTCTGGCGCTGGACAATTACAAAAAAGCGTGCGACTGTGGACGGGGAGCAATTTTCTTTTCCGTTGCCCGGGGCAAGGTGGCAGAAGGAATTGATTTCGACCGTCACTACGGACGAGCCGTGCTGCTGTTCGGCATCCCTTTTCAGTACACGCTGTCGAACACGTTGCGTGCACGGCTCGAATACCTTCGATACACGCACCAGATCCGCGAAGGTGACTTTTTGACATTCGATGCGTTGCGTCAAGCCGCTCAGTGCGCCGGTCGAGTTCTCCGTAGCAAGACCGACTACGGTCTCGTCATTTTTGCCGACTCGAGATACAACCGAGCGGACAAGCGCAATAAGCTGCCGCCGTGGATCACCCAGTTCCTCTTGACGTCGCACTTGAACTTGTCGGTGGACATGGCAGTTTTCATGGCTAAGAAATATCTGTCGTTAATGGCTCAGCCGGTGGACGAATTTACGAACGTCAATTCCATCTTGCTAGATGCTGACGGTGTCTCCAAATGGCTAGGCAAACATCCAAAAGAAGACGAACCCGTGCATTAACAAGGTAAGAAACCATGACCGCGAAAGTGAGGTTACGAAATGCAAATGGCTGCACAAGACGGTGTTTGTTAAGTACTCTTCTCCATTCACATTCAGCCGCCATTGACTATGCAAATGCTCTGCTAGTAGCTACACACTTTGCTGAGCTGGCTAGATTACAAGCGAGGCGCATCCAGCACAATGCCCTCAAACTTGGTCTGAAACCAGTTCACCGCGTCGTCCTTCGTAAGACGGTGCGGGTGGCCGACGCGCGACTGCTTCATCTTACGACGAGCGACACGAGCTCCTGGACGCTTCAGCACGACGAAGAAGTCCATGCCGTAAATGCCCGTCGACGGGTCGTACTTGATACCCAGATCGATGTGTTCCTGGATACCAAAACCGAAGTTGCCCGTCTCCGAGAAGTTCTTGCGCAGTAGCTCGTACTCCTTCACCTTGAGACCGCGGTCTAAAATCTCCTGAGCGAGTTCCCCGCGAATCGTCACGTGGCACGAAATCTTTTCGTTACGACGAATACCGAACGTGCGGACCGTGTAGCGGGCTGGCCATTCAACAATCGTTACATTTACATTACGTTAGTACATTCCATGTTGCTCAACTACGAGTGCACGGGACCCCTTTTCACTACTTTGCTGGACGCAGTTCCTTCAGTAGCCACTATTTGCGTCAATCAGCACAAAAAGTGGCGACGAAGGAACGCGTACACAACGAAGGAGAACGAGCCACGCATCTCTTGCCATCCGTTAAGATAGACGAAAAGATAACCGCCAACCTCCAAGATCATTGATGTGTGCGTGTCGTCCCACGAATCGCTTTTTGCAAAGCACGTTCGTTGTACTCAAACGAGCGCGATCGGGGATGAACCAGAGACAAAGCTCCGACACCCCGAAAGGCCGTGAAATTGGGTAGACACGCTCTCGCTTGGACAAGAGCGTGACTCCCGGGTAAGTAGCCCGTTAAGGCAGTTCTTTACTTTTTCCACTCGTGTCAAAAAAGCTTACCCTTCGAGTACACGGGCTTCTGCCCGGTGAGCTGCTCCAGCACACGTGCAGCACGGGTCAGTTTATCGCCGGACTCGCCAACGCAGCAGTTGATCACGAGCTTGTCGACGTGAATTTCGCGCATGACGTTGTTGCTCTTGTCGCCGGCCTGATGGGTCATTGACAAGGATCCATCAAGAGAGAAACAGCGAATCAGTGAGAACCCGTTGTCTTGTTTCAGTGTACTCCGCACGGCAGGACAGCAGGGAAGCCAGCGAGCATACGCACCATCTTGCTCGTCGTTGTGCAGCGTTTAGATAGGTAGTAGCAAAAGACGGTTTGTCGCTGCTAGGTGTAATGGGTGGTCGCGGGCTCACGCTGAGTGAGCTCTACAGAAAATATCGCAGTATCAAGCTTTTTATGCTGGGAAGCTTGACGACTATATAATGGCGATGCTTTACAAACTAACAAACGGTACGACGACACGGGAATTCATATTGGGGAACCGTTTATCATCCCTCAGTTTTTGGGTAAAATCCCCTCAGTTTGATATAGCGCTACATAATTGGCTAATCATGAGTCACGAATATGGAGCGATATCACTATCTGCTGTTTTTTTGGTTAGTTTTGGTCGTAGTCATTTTTATTGAACCTTTTTGCGCAGAAATGTCGTGTGGTGGACGTCATTGTCGGCGTTCCAGCCACAGTAAGCGATGTACTTAATACTGGAAGATGTGAGTAAGTGAGTGAGTAAAAATCCATCAGATCGAACGAAAGCTAGCAACGATGAAACGAAGTGCTTCCATTACATGATAATTCACACGTAAGTATTTATTAAGTATAAATATTGTGCAGAAACAAACACAATATTCTCACAATATTACTCTATTGATAATATTGCTTCGCAGATGTAACACACTACTCATTGGCTGATAAAAAGAGCCAAAAAATCCACCAATAAAGTCTAGCCACATCAGAAGCACGCGATAGCAGTGTGCGGACAGTTACAGTACATGTTTGTATTCAAGAGAATAAAGTCAAATGGGGATTTGTCAAAAGGATGAACTACACTAATGCAGTTCTACGTATTACCTCTACTGATTTGAGGAGAAGTGGGTTGTCAAAACTGTTTGACGAGACCCCAAACCACTCACTGTGCCGGACTGCCGACTGTCGGAGGGGGTATCCCGATGCCGCTTGTGGACCTTGACTCACCTTGTGTACCCGTCGTCTGGCGGGTTTCACTTTTTGGAGGACTCGGTGACGATGTAGACGTCGGCCTTGATGAAGGTCGACCTGTGAGAGGCGAGCGGATATGCTTCAGTCGGGGTCCAATTTAGGCGGCCACTCGATCGACTTGGTCGAGAGTGGTCTTATAACCAGTTGTCTCAGGTGCTGGTGGCGCCTTTACTTTAATTTTCTCAGGGATGCTACCCGTCTGGCCTTTATGTCTCTTCTCCCTTACCGCTAGGGTATGGAGACCGCTTCCTATAGCGTGATTGAGTTGGGGGTGCTACTCTACGAACTCACAGGCCGATACACTTCCTGGGGTTCTACTTACACTTGGGTTTTACTGACAACTGTCGATTCGACGGGTGGGCCAAACAGATCCCTGGCCCGGAACAAGTCGGCATACTTACAAGTTTCTTGGCGAGCGACACGTCGTGCTACTTAGATAGCAAATTGGGTAGTATTTAATATTGTCCTATCCTTTAGACTCCTTGACTCTATCCTTGCCTTGCACCTGGGTTCGCTATGATGAGTGGCCAGGAGACCTTGAGAGGCCAAGTCGACCTATGAGTGACCAGGTCGGCCGATGGGTGGTCAGGTCGGCCTACGGGTGACCGAGGCCCACCTTGGGCGATCAGGCCGATCGATGGGTGTCCAGGTCGGCCTACGGTGGATCGAGGTCCACCTTGGGCGAACATGGCCGACCGACGAGTGGTTGAGAACGATCCATATCGGTACCGTTTAACTGGTAGCGTTGGTCGGTTTGACCACGTTGGCAGTAACCTTAACTGCTCGTCAAGGTTGGACCCAACCGCTGCTCCTTACCTGTACCCCCCCCCAAGTCCCCGGTCCCTTTCCTGGCCGCAAGGTCCCATGTCCGTCCGGCTCATCGACCCTTAAGTACATCGTTTTTGAATAATCACTTAACCACAGAATGAATTTTACTCTGTATAGCAATCTTAATCCTCACATACGTGTACGAGAGGCAGTCAGACGCACACGCCCTTGCACTGCAAGCAGGGTAATATTTATTCAGTTCGCTGATTACGGTGTGCTCCGTTATGAACGTTTATATCACTGATGCAGTAGCTTCGTTAAATCTGTGAAGATGATGCGGCCGCTGCATGAGGGTGGTTCCAATGCACATTAATGTGGAACTATAAATGAACCAACACCAACAACTACAGAACTTAACGGAATCGATTTATGGATCAAATTAATTTTGACTGCATCCTTCAGTACGAGTCTATCAACTTTGTTGGCACTGTCACACGTGCGTTACTGGTAAATACCCTTACTTACACGAGCATGCAGTGTCCTCAGCTATACAGGCGTCACCAGCAAGAAGATTTTCGTTAAGTAGTGTATCACTTGTTGCGGTGCCTTACATATTTGTACTGACAGGATCATCCGTTTAAATACTCATGCGCGCTTGTCAAAAGATTCCTATGCACAATCATCATTTGTACACCTGATTGCTCTTGTGCGGACCTACATTGCACATCAATGGATTCGGAACAGCACAAAAAATATGAATCTACACCGTAACGAATAAGACAAATAATTATAACACGCGTCGCGTGCACGCGACACGAACGATCCGGATACGCATTATATAAATAAGTAGCAGCCTTACTATCCACTAACGCGAAACTCTTTGCATGAAAGCATGACGGAGACTGCTTGTTGTACTGAATGCGTCTACTTTGAAAGGAAAATAAGCGATTGAGAGCATCCGCTGACGTAGAAGCTTCGAGTCCACAATTGTTTCAGGCAAAGCTGGACATGATAGTACGCTTAAAAACACATATAAAAGATGGTGAACCATACTGAAACAAGCCCGGTAGATGTTTAAAAAAACTTGGTTATAGTAATATGATAACCTCAAAGTCGATCTATAAATTAGCCAATCCTCATAGTGTTATATCGAACTGAAAGTGTTTTGCCAGAAACTGAGGGAAGATAAACGGTTTCCATTTATAGATGTACATCACCTTTTTGATACATGTACCTCACCTTTGGTATATGTACCTTCCTTTATTATAGGAACCTCTTCTTTGTTATAAAATTATCCTTCAATCCTTTTTTATCAAAACCTCCCGTTAGCTTGTAATGGTCGAAAGATGAGCGGTATTGTTTTCATTTAGACCCCATTTGCCTTAAATACTACACGACATATGTAACGGGGTTACACGCGGTTGTTTAAAACCGTTTATGTTGTGTGTCCACACCAAGTAAAGATTAGTGGATCTGAGTGGTACAGTCTTGGCACCACGTACTTATGGTAATACCGCACCTTATCGGGTAAGGATAGAGGATCAGGCTTCCGTCTTAAGATCGTAATGTAGAAGTCAGTCAGGCAAAATTTTAGGTTTTTATTATCGTAGCTAAAAAAAAGTTTAGTTCCACCTATGAATCGTGGACGCTAGTGTCTAGATAAGGCATAGCGTGTTGTAAGAGTGTTAGCCTTGTAAGGCATTTACTCTTGTTAAGCTAGTAGTGACTAGTTAGCGTTTGATTCTGTGAATCTTAATCCCTTTGGAATTGGGATTGTTAAGCTTGTACGCTTGAACGACTGTACGTCGTTGTAGTTTTTTAAAACGAAGGGGCTCTTTAAGTCTAAGTCTTCCTCTGTTTAGTAGCGCTAAGTAGCTCCACTAAAACATCTGTCCTGAGATACAAACTACCTTACCTTTTTGTGAGTGTACCTCAGATTTTAAAGTCCACCTCCGTTATCTTCTGCCTCTGGATGGGCCAGGTACACTGTTTGTGATTTGCACATTCTTTTTTACACTAAACCCTTGCGACTTAGCGAAATTTTTCAACTCCTCTGGCATTTCTTCCATTATCTAATCCTCTCTTGGTCCTGGCGCCTCTATCTTCGAGTTGTGTAGGGGCGTTGTATCAGGGATCGCGGTCGTGGAACTTTCGAGGACTGAAGCTCTATCACTGTACCGGGATCGAGATTGTAAGTCGTGCAGGGGTGGTGGAAGGGAAATTGCTATAAGCTGATCGTGCTTGTGGCGCTCCTTGGGGCTACGAGTTCCTTTTTTTGTGTCTAGATCGCGCTCAAAGGTTATAAATGATGCGGCAAGGATATTCAGGGGACGCGGCAGATCAGGGATATGAGACGCGTTGGACATTAGATGATGACGCCGCCAGAAAGTGGAACGAAGTACATATAAAATAGGTGATATACGTGTACGAAAAAATTGAGTTACATCTGTATTTTCCTGGCTAAACTATGTCTCATATTAACGAAAAAATTATTAAACTTGCTGAGCTAAAGCATATAAAGCACCTTTATAGGGAACTGTTTAATTTCTCACACGTTTTTTCTCCTTCAATCACGGTATTACAAATGCAACCCAAAAAAGAGAAGATCAAACTCTGGAGATCACCCTTTAGTTGTGAGCCGGGAGGGTGAAGCCAAGCCTTACGAGCACGGTGTAGGGGGGGGGCTCTAGAACGAGGTAGAAATCGTAACTCATAAATGCGCAGGCACGGCGTTTACTATTATTTTTGCTTTTAGTTAGACGTGTTACAAAAACAATTATTTTGCAAGATGTAATACTAGGCATTTTGTAAAAGGAAATATATAAAATTACAACAATCTATAGCTATTCATGCAATGATCTCATGCTATTTATCTCGATCTGAAGCTATGCATCATTGATTGAGGCTATTTATGACAGCGTTTTGCGTCTCAAGTGATGATAATGATTTTATGTTTGATCAATCTGAAGCTTATTTTCTCGATCCAATGATATTAAGCACGATCTGAATTCAATATTGAATAGTTGTTGCAAATCAAACAAATGCCTCCTTATAGCACTCGTGCCTCATATTTTGGTTGCTCATTCCTGCACCAAGGTAAAGAGAATATATAAATTCTTGAAGGCGAAAAGCGGACGACGGGATAGGCAGCTGTCCAGGCACATCGAGATGTAGTACTTACGCAAGGTAGATGATCTGTCGTGTCTACGAAAGGAGGGACCTACCTCTATTACAGTGCAACAGTGCGAGCTCGGGCTGCAAATAGTAAATTCGATTGACACGTTATAGTAACAAACATGGCCCAGGTGATTGGCATGTTACGGAAGGAATCTGGAACATCAGAATTGCGTCAGTGTCGGAAAGCCTTCAACCTCTCAACTAGTCACCATCTCTAAAACCCGTAGTCCATTTTCTGCACAACCGACCACATCCACAAAATTTTTAGTAGATCTCTTCGTCATCAAGCCGAATTTACTGCGTCCTATCGCGTGATGCATCGTATCTAGGGTACGATAAAAGAATAGCTGTTTTCGGAAAATTCAGCAAATATTACCCTTTTACCAAGTCTACTGTTGTAATTCCAGCGTCTGAACCCATGAACACTTGCAAAGCTCCAGCGCGACGAGAAGCGGCTTTTCCACTGGGCAATCGCTGTGCTAAATTTGAAGGGGTTTTCAAATGACCAAGGTAATAGGTTTATATGCAGCTCACGTGAATTATCGCAATTACAATGGGGCTCTTATTAAACTAGCCAGTCGCGAATAATCTTTTTATAGCAAAATTGCTGGAATTGCGCTCGTCCCTGTTGAAAACTACGATAATTACGCTACTTTGTTGCTTTGTGTTACGCATCATGGTTTTCCACTGACTACTAGTCCCTTATTCAGTGATAAAAAAAATCTGGCCTGGTATCTGCCGCTGAAAAATCAACACATATAACACATTTTGCATTTGTCCCAAATAGGTACGGAACAGCCAAATTTTTAGCAGTCACTTTCTTGTTGTCTTGTTTTTCTGCATAGATAATACAAGAAATTACAAAATGGTAAGACTATTGGTCACCTTAGAGAAGTTCGTACAAGAAGCGAATGCTGCATCACGTCGATCAGATTTCAATATCGCGATGACTAAAACTATACGCGATCAGTCTAGCTGCTGTTTACAGTGACCCGCGATACCACTTCATAAGTGATCACTTCACGTACACTACGACGCAATTTTAGATTACGAGGGACGAATGCCCATCGTTGTTGAAAGCGAGAAAGCAAAAAGCCTCCGCTTGAGCCTTGACTAGTGATGCCGTAAGATCTGTTAAAGAATTATACGACTATTTTAATGGATGAGTGATCCAGACCATTTCAATTAAGCATGATATGAAGGAAAGAGAGACGTAAGTTTACGCCTCGGGCCGAGAAAAAAGTTGCAGAAACAGATCGTGGATGCTGCAGGATACGGCGTGACGTTCAGTTCTGACACCGTAGCATTCGTCACTCGATTCAGCAATCAACTAAAGCAACACCGTGTCAACACCAAGAAAGCGTCATGATCATGTGAAATATGGAAGCAGCGCACAATCCTTGTGCCGCCATAGAATCGTGACCCATAACAGGGTGGTGAAGTGATTATTCAAAAACGATGGACTTAAGGGTCGATGAGCCGGACGGACATGGGACCTTGCGGCCAGGAAAGGGACCGGGGACTTGGGGGGGGTACAGGTAAGGAGCAGCGGTTGGGTCCAACCTTGACGAGCAGTTAAGGTTACTGCCAACGTGGTCAAACCGACCAACGCTACCAGTTAAACGGTACCGATATGGATCGTTCTCAACCACTCGTCGGTCGGCCATGTTCGCCCAAGGTGGACCTCGATCCACCGTAGGCCGACCTGGACACCCATCGATCGGCCTGATCGCCCAAGGTGGGCCTCGGTCACCCGTAGGCCGACCTGACCACCCATCGGCCGACCTGGTCACTCATAGGTCGACTTGGCCTCTCAAGGTCTCCTGGCCACTCATCATAGCGAACCCAGGTGCAAGGCAAGGATAGAGTCAAGGAGTCTAAAGGATAGGACAATATTAAATACTACCCAATTTGCTATCTAAGTAGCACGACGTGTCGCTCGCCAAGAAACTTGTAAGTATGCCGACTTGTTCCGGGCCAGGGATCTGTTTGGCCCACCCGTCGAATCGACAGTTGTCAGTAAAACCCAAGTGTAAGTAGAACCCCAGGAAGTGTATCGGCCTGTGAGTTCGTAGAGTAGCACCCCCAACTCAATCACGCTATAGGAAGCGGTCTCCATACCCTAGCGGTAAGGGAGAAGAGACATAAAGGCCAGACGGGTAGCATCCCTGAGAAAATTAAAGTAAAGGCGCCACCAGCACCTGAGACAACTGGTTATAAGACCACTCTCGACCAAGTCGATCGAGTGGCCGCCTAAATTGGACCCCGACTGAAGCATATCCGCTCGCCTCTCACAGGTCGACCTTCATCAAGGCCGACGTCTACATCGTCACCGAGTCCTCCAAAAAGTGAAACCCGCCAGACGACGGGTACACAAGGTGAGTCAAGGTCCACAAGCGGCATCGGGGTACCCCCTCCGACAGTCGGCAGTCCGGCACAGTGAGTGGTTTGGGGTCTCTTCAAACAGTTCTGTCAACCCAATCCACCACAATGGTTCTCGTGCCCGGATATTTGGAAGACGCGGGATTTCACCGCGAGTCCCAAGATGAGGAAGAAGTCAAGGTCATGATAGAACCGAAGACTGAATACCCACTGGATGACCGACCGCCAGTGACACAAGAAGACAAAAAAGAGTCGAAGGTCCTACCGGACCTTGATAGGGGTCCGTTCGATTTGGTCAAGTTTTAAAATATTGAAGAGAAACCGAAACACCCTCCCAATGTCCTCGTTGAGGACGTCTTGGGTTATGATACCTATTATGCCCCAGTGGACCATCAACCGACGGTGAAAACCGAAACGTTTTGGTCCCCGAAACAACATGCCCCTCCGTTCGCCCACTCCAATCCGAAGAGAACCAGGATGAAAGTGCCGAGGGACACCAATACGATAGGTTCTTACACCTCCGGACCACCGAAGGAGTCGGACCATCGGCCGACGACGCAATCTAGAAAGCTAAGATTTCCGACACCAAAACATTCCAAGATAGCTAAGTCCAAGCAAAAAAACACGAAGACGAAGACGCCTGTGGACACCAAGTTGGTGGGCTTTGCCCAAGCAGGGTCGCCAGCCTGGTCGGACGATGCTGTGAATATCTCCTACCACCAACGCAAGCTGGACATTCTCTTGGCAAGTGACCCCGTCGCGAAAACCCTTGAGATCCATTTTCTTGGACGACCAGGGGGACCGGGGTGTCGCCCCTACCGAACCTTTGGACGGTCACAGAGTCGGTCACTGCACTGGTAACCCTTCTCCGCGAGACAAATAGGGCTGTAGCAAGGTAAGAGCCAAGCACTTTGTTTAACGTAGGCTTCAACAGCATCAAGAGCATGTTGGAGAAGTTGCACGAGCGATTGGAGATTCTGGTTGAGATCTCCACTAGGCACAACAACGTACCACCAGCGCAATCACTACCAACTCTGTCTTGCGATATCCAGATGACGCTCCAAGACTTCTAAATCCAATTCCAACCACGAGTCAGATCGAGAAACCGAGGGTGGTGCGCCTTCCCACACCACCGACTCTCCCGCCAGAAATCCAAGACGCGGATGAGCGGTCGTCACTCGGTTCGACTGCTCTTGACCGGTACGACCGGATGACACTGGGACAGGCAGAAGCAGCGATGCTCCAGGCTTGCGTAAGGGGCGATGCAACCGATCAATATGATCACGAAACATCGGCACGTGTCCGCCCAAACATCCGATCGCCTGATAGGGTGAAATGTCACACAATGGGAATGTAGCACGGTCGTTACCGAAACTCTGCACCACCACGTGAAGAAGATGAGGGAGGGATGCGCCTACCAACACGGTAGCTAACTTGCTAACATACTTTGACGCGGCGATGGCACATTTCTATAGGAAGGCCAAGTACAACATGATAACAAGATGGAAGGGCGACCACAGAGGCACAAAGGACGCAAAGAAAGCGACTCAACAAGTACCGAGGATCCCAACGCAAGCTTCAAGACAACGTACTATGACTGACGTGGAGACGGAATCAATCGGTACGTACAAGTACGGCCCAGACTACATGGACTTGGAGGGACCATTGACGAGGATGGCGACGCTTAAGTAGGACAAATTCCCAGCATGGTCCCTCGCATTACACTTGCAGCAGCATCGGACCTCAAGGAATTCCACTAAATAGATCAAGACGAGGACCGAGCACGCAGTTGTGTGACCACGGCAAAACCGCGTTCACGAGAGATCGAGCGCCCGACGATGAAAAGTGTCTTGTCTTCGGTAAATTTGCTAACTAGACCAGCTTAGAACTGGTATCGCCAACTGGGTCGCTCGGTTCGACCAAGCTGTAAAGATCTCCTGCAAGAGTTCCAGATGTAGTTCTGCGGTCTGGGAGTGCCAGTCGATTGCCGATACTACCACGCAAAGAAGAGTTCAGATAAGTCACCATTCGACCACCTGTAACAACTCAATGTAATTAGACTCAGGGAGAAGTTTATATTGAGGACGGATCGCCCATGATACAAAAGGAGCACTTCGAGCACTACATGGAGACTGTAGACGACCCGGAACTGGCGGATCAGCTCACGATATTGCGTCTGGCGGATGTGGACGAATTGAAAGACGTGTTGATAGCCAGATAGATGACGAAAGCGCAGCGAGGAAATGTACTCTTTGGATCAAGCAAGTTTCGACAAAAGGCACCCGTACCACTCGACCGACCTAAAGAGTTAACCGCCGGTCGGGACATGCAGTTCAGGCGACCTTAGAAGAGTCTAATTCTGACGATTTGGGCTCGGACAGCTCAAGTTAAAAAGGTGATCTGAAGCGAATTCACTTGATGGCGAGGAAAAGACAGATGGACACAGGTGCAAAGACCCCAACAGGCCAACCTATTCGGGAGTACGACCATCACCTTCACCATGAAGGTGACAAGAGATCTCTCCCGACGTCGTCAGCTTAATACGAGAAGTGCGCTCTTTGTGGATCTCGAAATCAAGGAGATTTGGATTGCTTAAAACGACTAACGTGTGACCGCTGTGTGTAAAAGGGTCATCCAACAGATCGTCGTTAGTTTGTGCGCAAGGGGTGCGGAGAGGCCCACGCGGCTGGAAAGTGCCAGATGGAAGAGTTTTATAGCTCGATCCGTCAATGGTACAACCCGACCAAGAACGACGGGATGTTGCCGGTAAAGGCGGATGAGGTGACAAATTAAAACGTTCGTCAGGTTTGAATCCAGTACGAACCGAGTATTCTGATTGTCACGTCTTTGCATATATAAAAAAGCGCTTCGAAGAAGATATAGGTACCACAGGAACAATGAATTGCAAGTAGGATGCCGCAGATAAGAAGATTAGGAATATATCGAAGACTAGAAGCTTATATGTGGTTCATATTGCTTGTCTTAATGACCTAATGGCTTTGCTCGAGGAGACGCTGTGATGAAATTTGACCTACTACCAGGCGATTCCAGGGGCTATTATAAAAACAATGCCCCTCCGAAGTGGTTCAAGCAGATCAAGGCCTCTGGAAAAGTCAACAACGATCACGCAAACTTCTTGTCTAATGCTGGTGCTGAGATGTCCATTTTGGATATTACCTTTCCTCGTAAGGTATGTTGCCAGATTGATAAAAATGCAAGATTATAAAATGTCGGTATTGAAAAGTCAATAAATACCAAAGACGGGCGCTTTCGCATCAAGATCCTTCTGGACGAAAACTTGGTGCATATCCTCAAGGTATGAGTAGGGGCGATGGTAGGCCAATATGCAACTTTGAAGATGGACTTCATAGTCTTCGCTGGCATCTGCCTAGGCCTGGGGGGGGGGTGGAGCTCTCTGTCTTCCAGATGAAGTTCACACACAACTGGCCGGCCGACGGACGCTTTACGGTCAGAGTGACCGATGTGAAGTTGGGTCAATTCGCACTACCAACCATTGGAGGGTATGTGAAAGTACCCCTGAAAAGATTCGACCTTGGAGCAGAGTGTGCTATGGTTGACGAGAGGAGAACGGTGGGTCACTATGGTGATCCGAGGGCTGGGCTGACGTCAATTATTGAGGGTGAACAATGTCAGCACACAATTTCTAAGGCTACATGACGACACCATGCGACTCTAGCTTCAACAGCAAGGCTTTCATCAGTCGTTGGGCAGGCCGACGCACACGCGTCGACCCGAAACCTTGAAGAAAATTATCTTAAGGTACAAGGGAGCAGAGAAAGATTCCCTTTTGAGATGGTTCGTCGAGTTTGACGACTATGTAAGGACCCGTCACATCGAGAATGACGAGATGAAAGTCACCTTCGCCCTGTCAAATTTGACGGGACGAGCAAAGATTTGGGCCTTAGGGCTCAAGCTTCACGACCCAAACGTGTCTGAGTCGCCAGATACCTTAAGGTCGAGGCTCAAAGAAACTTTTGAGCCACCAAGATTCGAGTTCAGAGCACACTGTGCACTCTTGAGGCTCAAACAAGGTAAGCGTGATGTGCATGCTTACGCACAACACTTACGCAACCTTGCGAGTATCGTTTATGAACACCCTCTTGATGAGCACACGCTCATCTACGTGTTCATCTACGGCCTTGTGGATGGACCGGTGAAGACCTACATGTTCCGAGAGGACATCCATACGCTGGAAAAGACGATAGCGTATGCGGAACAAGAAGACTTCAGGCCTGAGACAGTCTCAGGCTAACTATTCAAACTATCTTCCGACGAGACGACAAAAAACAGGAGGTCCCGAGCCAATGTACGTCTGTTATGTCGAGAGTGAGAACTCTCGCTCTCTGAGTCACAAGCGAACGGTAAGATGCCACCGCTGTCAGAAGACCGGACACTACTCTCATGAGTGTAGTAACCGCATCACGTCTAAGGACATGACGTGATGACCGCCGTTGGCCAAGGAATGGTCCGAGGCGTAGGTCCGACCGTGTCGCGCCAGCAAGTCGGACTGTCAAAAAACGGCCAAGGTCAGTAGGGACGGAGCACCATGCTGATCCAGCAACGTCAAGAGAATTTGCAGGACTCTTGACGAAGATTGCTCCCAACACGCAGTCTTTGTGTTACTGCTCTTAGTGCTGAAGTGTTCCTCATCACTTTTAAGATCGAATTGACAAGTGGAATGTCAGTTCGCGCCCTAGTTGACTGTGAGGTGTCGAACAGTTCTATCCGACGCCATATGCTAGATGATTGTAGGCTCAACTATGTTGAGCGAGAGTTTCCTCCAGCGGGGATGACGGTGTGCCTTGCAACAGGAGGTTCCGTAACAGTGAACAAACGTGTAGTGTGAATCCACTACATGCTAGAACGAAAGCATTACGATGATGACTTTACCGTATTAGATTTGGATGACAAAATTGATGTCATCATTGGTCTGCCATGGCTTAGAAAGTACCGGCCATGGGTTAGCTGGCAGCATACATCCGTGAAGATACCTGCCGTTTGCTCATCAGATGGCCATCTGATGAACGTATCGGAGCATCCACAAGCGCGTGAATGTACCACGAGTGAGTGCGATGGCCTCACTTGTGGTACAGTCGTTAGTAATACTGCACAAGATCACAGTGTAGAAGGCCACTACACTGTGGAACCAGCTTTTGGCACCTGTGCAGAGCACGGGCTGCGCCGGAGTTTCAACAAACGAAGAGATCGAGTGAATTGGGACATGGATGCACACCAAGAAGGGTGCATCCAAGAAGAGCGATGAGTGCTGTTCAGGATAAACAACACGTTGAAGCGATATCGACTATCAGAGAGTCGATCGTAGAGTAAGCCCCATCAACTAAAAGAGAGTCGATCGAAGAGGACCTGACTGTGGTAGTTTACCCACTGTCAGACCACGTATTGGAAGAGAGTTTCAGCGTTCCTAAGAGTGATAACTCCCGAGAGAGTTATGTTGAGGGTGTAGATCCCCAACCACCTGCGGATGTGTTTCCCAGAAAATCACCGAGACAGTGAATGACTTGGTGAATGGCGGATTAAGTGTAGGAGCTATACACTTGATCTGGATACACCTTCGAAGTCAGCCTTAAAGGTTGTTAAGTTGCCAACGCTAGAATCTAAAAGATTCTTGCGAGATCTGCGTAGTGACAAGATCAAGCAGATCTGCGTATTCATCACAGAGGACGAGTACGTTGCCAATATTCGGTCGGCACAAGTGTTTTTGCTAAGAACGGGTTCTCAGTAGCTCATCGATGGATGATAGTGTCCTCGATGAGAAGACCCGAATTGAGAGATGCACGTCTCAATCTAGGAAGTCTATAGGGACAATTACTTTGTAAAAGGATTTGGTTGAATTCAGGGATGTTTTCTCTGAATCCGTGCCATGCGAGATTCCCAAGGACACAGGCACTCGGCATGAGATCAAACTAAAACCTGGTTCGAAGTACTGTGTCATGAAGAAGTGGCCACTGCCTCGTGAACAGATCACAGCGGTCGAAAAGTTTTTGCCGATTGCTTAGCTGCTGGTCATGTGGGGGAATCAACATCCTTGCAAAGCTCTCCGACCTTCTGTGTGCGAAGAGACACATAAGGGTGGCGGGGATTGCACGCGTTAGATAAATTAAACGCTACAACGGTGCCGGCTCAGACCTTAAAACGAAGAAGGACGTCATTATAGATAGGTTGGCAAAGAGTACCATCTTCTCATCAATGGATCTGATGGATAGCTTCCATCACTTTACATGCGTACACAGGAAATCCCATTCACAGCAGTGAGCCCCCGCAGTGGTATTCTCTGGGAAAGGGTAGTGATGCCTCAGCTATGAATAGCGCCCCTGCAACGTTTAATATATGGGTACAAATCGGTTAATAAGGGTGCGATGAGTTGCTTTGTCGGTGTGTCCCTCCAAAGCCGGACTTTGTTTAAAAGTTGGACGTAGAGGGTCGCTACAAACACATTCGTCAGGTTTTTACACTTATGTGTGAGCATAAGTTGTTCTCGAACTTTAATAACTGAATATTCACGGCTAGCGACATGCCCCTTCTTGGATGAATCGTGGGTAAGTAAGGCGCGGTTCCGAATCCCGAAAAAGATCAAGGCAGTTAGCGACTGGCCTGTGCCAGTCGACGTCAAGGGACTTAGACGATTCCTTGGGATAGCGGCGTACTTGCACAAGTACTCGCGCAACTACGCTAAGATGGCTGTGCATATTTCTGTTTACTCAAGAATTATGTAAAGTGGTCAAAAAATGCTGACTTACAGCGATTATATGAAGATATCAAGCAGGGCTTGATGAATTCACCCATACCGGTAAATTTAGATCAGGGCAGATTAATTCACGTGGTCTGTGACGCAAGTGATTTTGTAATCGGCTGCGCGCTAAGGCAGTAGGACTCAGACGGCGATGAGCGCGTCGTCTGCTATCAGTCGCGTCAGCTGCGAGCAGCTGAGCTTAATTATCAGGAGTATGACAAATAGCTCCCTGCCATTAAATATGCACTGGCAAAGTTTCGTGTTTTTTTCCAAAGAGATATGCCGTTTGTAGTCTGTACGAACAATACTTCACTACACACGGCCATTAACATTCCACACATCTCGCAACACATGGCGAGGTGGCTGTCTTTCTTCGCGAAGCACAACCTATCCGTCGAATACAAACCAGGACGACTTAATGTCGTCGCTGATGCTCTATCACGTCGGCA